GCTGACCTGGCTTTGCTGCTGAACGAGTTTCTTCGTTTCACGTTGAATTTGCTCAGATTGAGCAGCTAAATGGTTGTAATTTAAATCAAAAAATAACAAATCAAGGAAATTCCAATTGTTACCCATGATACTCTCCAAAAGCTCTTTAACCATGGGTCTGGAGTCGTACATAGGATGAGCCTTTACTCTTGCTACCAAATTCAAGCTTACTGGGCCTTTCTCCATTTGTTCCAGAACCTGGAAATGAGTTATTTGACAGGTGCTTTGAGAAATGCTAGGATTTAAGAGGCATCTGAGGTTTAAGACGAAAAAGTTATTGTTTGTCATACTTTCTCTTTAAGAAATTGTTTGACTTATTCGAACATAAAAGAAAGGTGGTTTTTAAGAAGGAGTGAAATTTCCAGATAAGAAAAATCTATTGCAAAGTATCTTTGCCCAAAAGACTTTTTTAATGAGTTTTAAAAAAGGAAAACTGGACAGATTTTTAAATTGGTTAATCAAATTAAAGCAGCAAAAAAGTTTGCCCTTCCAATTTGTGGGTAAATATATTGAGTTCAATAAAATTAGGGAATGAGAATGAGCCGCATTACCTATGTGCAATAACAACCCTCACATATCACTTTCTTGTAATTAGAGGCTTTTGAGATTGTAATTAGCATCGTTGTCTGTTTCTAACCATTACAGTTAAGTAAATATTCTAATTACCTGATTCATTAGAATATTCAACGAATCAGCTTCAAGGCGGTATGCAGCAGCAGACATTGGAGGTCGTAACGTACTTCGTCTAAACATTATGATTTTATCCAAGTTCCCAGTTTTTTCCTTTTCTTGCATAAGCAATACTTACTTTGCTGGAGGGGTAACAGGTGGTTCTGGCTCACTAACTGGAACAAACGATGGAGCACGTGATGATTTGGCGTTTCTCGCTGTTTGTCTGAAATTAGAAGATACAATAATTTTTTTCTCTATACTAGACATAGAAGGATCTTACTCATTTCGAGCTGATTTCGGATCTTCCGGTTGTTCCGGAGAAAGTTCGCGTTTTGTTTTAGCCTTTTCTTGATTTGCCAGCAATGTGGGCGGGGGTTCTTGGGAAACGTTGGGTGGTTTAAATGGTCCAGGAATTTCCTTATCGGGTGCGGCCTAAAAATGGTTTTATTTAACTATGGAAAAACCTTTGCTTGGTTTAACTTCTTAATTTTTATGCATAATAGTGAACTTTTATCAAAGAAGCAAATCGAGTGCCAACCCGACCAGAAATTATCATGAAAAATCTGGTGACAATACTATGATTAGATATAATTATAAATATGAATTGCCTTTCAAGTTAACTGAATGCCATAACTGAGCAAATTTCGAGGTAAACTTTCATAATAGTGAATTTTCTTTAATTAATATCTGAACATATGTCTAATGCTTACGTCAAAAACACTACAATTCCAGCAACTTGCTTTTTCGTTGCTTACCCAGTATAGGCATCCTCAACCAACATTATAGGTATCTTTGAGATCCAATTTTAGATCACGTATGATTTATCTATCTAGGCTCCAGCTTTTCCCATGCTACCCACATCACTACAGCCTCATTTTATGTCGATGTGTTTGCCAGAGAAAGTAGAAATCTTTGCGTTAGAACATTCCTAATCTATGATTTGATCAATTACCTTCATTTATAGTTAAAATCTTGGTCCATTGCTAAAAACAGCTACCTTCATCTATGTTTGATCCTTGCCAGTAACTCACTGTAATTTGGAAATGTTATAACACAAACGTAACAAGACAGTAAAGCATTCCTGCAAGCATATGGAAAAAAATCTTCTGCAAAAAGTAGAGGAAATCTTCCTACAGTGAGTTGTATCTCCTATACATTTGGAACTGTGTATCACCTAACAGCTATTTTAGTTTTTGCCACTATATCACTACGGTATATCATCACTGATAATGTGATGTGAAAGAGATTGTCGATGCCAGTTTACCTATGCATAAAGTTTGCTTCTATAGAAGCTTCATTCATTAGAGAGCTTTTTGCTAGTCATATAAGGTAAAAATGTACAACTTCAACTACTGAAGTTTGGTGAACTCTTTCTGTATGCAGCAATTTTTTTCAAACTTCCCAACCTATCAGCGCTACATGTTTTATATCTATCGCACAGCCTAACTATTACTATCGAAGAGGTTTTATCTGCAAAATTGATACGTGGTAATTGCTAGTTTTTCGCTTATATTCTTTTTTTTCTTTCCGAGAGAAGGAGATTGTCAAGTTGTTATTGTAAAAATTGTTACAAGAGAATTAATTGAAATACACTATGAGACCGTCTCGAACTCTACTCTTTCGGCAAATTTTGCAATCCATAGTTTTCAAAAATAACCTAAAATTTTCCAAAACTTTTCTGAGTAGCTTATTCTTTCAGTGCCTGCACATACATATCACATTGATATGACATCTGCAAATATGAAAAGTTTCATATCACCACCCTTAAAATATCTGTTTGGTGAATCCTGAATTATACTTAGAATTAGAAACAAACAACATTACCTCTACTAATAATTAGTAAGGCCTCTTCAAATGACCTGTGTGATTCACCAACCAATTATCCGCAGATAAAGTACGGCAGATAATCCGTACAGAACATATGTTTTCACAGTACTAAACAGCTTAAAAGCAGGTTTTCGACTGTTTTGCCAAATTTTCGACTCCGCTTTTCATCTTTTCTGGACCATTTCGGTTTGCTGACTACGAATAGCATAACCTTACCATGAAATTATCAATACACAAAGGGTTTTGGCTAATCTAAATGTTTGGAGCATTTACTCGTTTACCATGGCAGTTACATACTTGCCTG